TCCCCAATATTACGATGAAGAGCTAACACATTGTCAACATGCGACATATATAAGCTAGTACAGCTAAGTGAAGGTATCCCTGTCTTTACGAAAGACATCGTACTGATTCGGGTCGAAAAACTCCGCATCGAAAAAATTTGCATTGAGCCAAGTCTCAACGATAACAAAAATATCATACTCCAAGTACGCACTTAGCATTCGGACAGTATCGGCCTTAGTCCGGAGTCCAGAGGCGTTTTCAAAATAGTTTGATATGCTTGTTCGGCTTGGGAGAAGCAACTATGCTGGGGCAGTTGGCCTCCTTGTTCTTGAAAAAAACGGAACTGTCGAATATTAACATTTGTTGGCCAGATTTCTGGCTTCAGCTAATTAAAATATACATGTTCAGGAACTCCCAATTTGAAGTTGATATATTTTAGTGATGTCTCATTTGTATCCTTCTTTGCCAGCTTATAGCAGGCAATTTGTTGCTTATCAACGATGACTTGATTCGCCACGTAATTAATAATATCAACTTCCGAAACCGTTGGCATGAACGATGATAAACGGAGCCACTTAGGACGCGAAAATACTCCCAGATCATTATTTTCATTACGGCCAACCACGACATTTCTCCGCTAGGGCACTTTCTTTCGCGGCACAGTAATCCAATCAGCACCGAGTTGNTTACAAAGACTAAGTCTAGAAAGCGATTCATATTGTTGGCGAGGCCGTTTATTTGAGTAAGGCCAATACTTAAAAAGTTATCAATAACATATGACTCAACAGAACTTTGTACATTTGAGGGAGTCAAGAATAAATTATTATCGAAATACGACCAGCTACATTTCTTAAGTTGAAATCACCAAGCACACAACGTTGGTCGTCCCCAATATTACGATGAAGAGCTAACACATTGTCAACATGCGACATATATAAGCTAGTACAGCTAAGTGAAGGTATCCCTGTCTTTACGAAAGACATCGTACTGATTCGGGTCGAAAAACTCCGCATCGAAAAAATTTGCATTGAGCCAAGTCTCAACGATAACAAAAATATCATACTCCAAGTACGCACTTAGCATTCGGACAGTATCGGCCTTAGTCCGGAGTCCAGAGGCGTTTTCAAAATAGTTTGATATGCTTGTTCGGCTTGGGAGAAGCAACTATGCTGGGGCAGTTGGCCTCCTTGTTCTTGAAAAAAACGGAACTGTCGAATATTAACATTTGTTGGCCAGATTTCTGGCTTCAGCTAATTAAAATATACATGTTCAGGAACTCCCAATTTGAAGTTGATATATTTTAGTGATGTCTCATTTGTATCCTTCTTTGCCAGCTTATAGCAGGCAATTTGTTGCTTATCAACGATGACTTGATTCGCCACGTAATTAATAATATCAACTTCCGAAACCGTTGGCATGAACGATGATAAACGGAGCCACTTAGGACGCGAAAATACTCCCAGATCATTATTTTCATTACGGCCAACCACGACATTTCTCCGCTAGGGCACTTTCTTTCGCGGCACAGTAATCCAATCAGCACCGAGTTGCTGCTGGGTAGAAGCATTTAATATATCTGACGATATATTGGCAGATGTTTAGATGCAGATGGCAAAGAATTAAGATTAGCATTGATAACAGCAGCAGTGGAAGGTGAAGATATATTAGTAACAGTAGCCAATGCAGTTGATAACGCAGTCGGCATTTGTTTAGAAGCTGAAGTCAAAGCGACAGAAGTGACATTATTCACGTCAGCAGGAGAAGATGAAGAAGCATTGTTCGCTGTTATCATATTAGCTGATAATGCAGTTCGCATTTGTTGAGAAGCCGACGGCAAAGCATCCGAAGTAAAATTATTATCCGCCTCAGCTGGAGTTAGTGAGGGTGCATTATTAACAATCACAGAACTCTCAAAAGCCGAAGATTCAGCCAATGACAGAACAGACGTTTTAGCAACCATGTCAGTTTGAGAGTGTGAGACATTTTCCATGGCCGAGGTTGGTGACTTCACTTTCCGTAGGTCAAGAAAACCGTTTAACTTGTTCTTGTTGTTGTTCACCTTAGCAGTTGATTTAGAATTAGTAACAACATCTTTTAGGGCACTGAATTCTGAACATAAAGTTTTTAAACATGAAGAAACATTCTTGTTGTGTTCACAGTTTTTTAGATTTATTAAAGCAATTTCTTTATGAATTTCACCAAATTGGCCCATTATTGTGGTTACGATAGAGTCAAAGCCATTTTTATGCGTAGCCATGAAAGAATCCAAAGACCTTGTTAATTTTGCAGGCAACAACAAACACTCTGTGCGAAGATAGCAGATATGCTTATTCTGGTTAAATAGCCTGACATCATATTCTGATATTTGGCCAACACAGCAAGTACGGTGAAATTATTTTTGACAAAAACCACTGCACGGCACAATTAAGGTATCATTTCGCGCAAATGATTTGTCACACTTTAAATATTTAACGCAACCATCTTCGAACTCGTGTAAGAAATTTCACTTCAAAAAGGTTCCGTACGTCATGCGGACTGCGCCCCTCGTGTCGGTTGGCGGGTAAAAACCGTTGGCATTAATCAATTAACGTTGCTGGCTTAATTAGCTGAATACAAGTGTATATATGAATGGAACTAAAAAGTCTGAAGTTCTTTTCTTAAGATCACGTAATGAAAAAGAAATTCAAGCCCTCCTTCTAATGTAATGACTTAATTTATGTAAAAAACGGAAATACTCGGGTTCTTAGAAATTTGTTTAGGAACGTGGGTGAACTTATTAAAGATTTTATAACTTGGTGTTAAATATTTAACGCAACCAACTCCGAACTCGTGTAAGAAATTTCACTTCAAAAAAGGTTCCGTACGTCATGCGGACTGCGCCCCTCGTGTCGGTTGGGCGGGTAAAAACCGTTGGGATTAATTAATTAACGTTGCTGGCTTAATTAGCTGTATAATGCAAAAAAATAAAATTATGGGTCCATTACGGATAGCAACGCAACCACGGTTCGGTTGGCAGCTGGCAACGCAACTGGAAAGAAAGTTTGTATTACGAGTGGCAACTATGTCAGTTGCTGTAGAGTTATCGATAATTGAAATTCGACAGTGCGACAAACAGCATAGGGCTGTAAACAAGCTGTGCGAGTAAAATTAAATTATTAAAATAAAGAGTTTTAAAGAAAAGACAGCTATAGAAGTTGCGTTCCAGATGCTTCACGATTTGCAGGTTTTTACAGGAAGTCGTTCCAGGTGACCACCTTCCATAAGGTTTACTAATGGAGAAAACCGCTGTTTCTGCAAATCGTGAAGCATCTGGAACGCAACTAAAGCTAAGTTCATCACAATTATTTGTTTAAGAGGAAGAGAAGTGCATGAACGCGGCCTCAATCAGGCGACATTTAAAAGATATATCCAATCCTCTAGAGCTTCCGCGTGCACTGTAAAAAAAATTAATGCTTTCGAGGTTTTTCTTTTATTATCGTTTTGTGTTCATTTTCAACGCATATTGAGGACTTCCAAAAGGAGCTTTAATATAATTGGTTAATAAACAGATGAACCTCTTCGTTCAACTGTTTTTGTTATTTTTTGGCCTTTATAACAATTATATTCAACAATTTATATTGATCTCGAGGCCGTTTTAAATGAAAATNTCTGCAAATCGTGAAGCATCTGGAACGCAACTAAAGCTAAGTTCATCACAATTATTTGTTTAAGAGGAAGAGAAGTGCATGAACGCGGCCTCAATCAGGCGACATTTAAAAGATACATCCAATCCTCTAGAGCTACCGCGTGCACTGTAAACAAAATTAATGCTTTCGAGGTTTTTCTTTTATTATCGTTTTGTGTTCATTTTCAACGCATATTGAGGACTTCCAAAAGGAGCTTTAATATAATTGGTTAATAAACAGATGAACCTCTTCGTTCAACTGTTTTTGTTATTTTTTGGCCTTTATAACAATTATATTCAACAATTTATATTGAGCTCGAGGCCGTTTTAAATGAAAATTTTTATTGTGGAAAAGCAACAATAATTTGAAAAAA